ATGCGCCCTCAAAGCCTGAGTGAAGTCGGCCACCTTTTTAGTTCCGGAAATTTTTTTTATCACCTTTATGGACGATTTTGTGAAGATTTCTCCTTATTTGATTTGAAAAGTACTTAGTCTTAAAAACATATTGGCATGTGTCCTTGTACTCTCTGAATGCAGGCAGAAATACTAAAGAACTGAAAAACCTGATGGTCCGGGAGTTCTCGGTAACGAGGTCACTCTGGCAGGCGTCTTCTTTGGCTCTTAATGGGAAGACCAAACCTCAGATGGCCAGTAAGTCGGGGCTCCCCTCTGATAGAAGGGCTAAGTCAGACGTTTCCTCTTCACCGGGTCAGGGCAGATTCGATATGGAAAAGAGCGTAACCTTTTTTGTAGACGACAGCGAAGACAGGAAACATTCTAGAACATTATTAGCTCAGAATGACAACAAAAACGCAGGTACGAGATCGGACGGCAGTGGTTCCTCCAGGGGACAAAAAGAAGAAAGTGAACGATCATACAGGATCGAAACTTTTCTCGGTCCAGGGGTCACAAATCGCCGCCTCGAGAACAAAGTAAAGCGTGATCGTGAAGAACGAGCAGACTTTAATTTGAGGTTTGATGCGTCGACGACGTCCTCGTCGACCTGCAGTTCGGTCGACAGTAATGTGGCGGCCTCAGAACTCTTTGACGACTTTAACGAGCTGGGTCTGCTGTCTGTTACTAATGCTGAGATCTTTAACAAGCAACTGAGAAAGTCAATCGCCATTATGGGCCGCAGGGTGAGCGGAAAGTCTAATTGTCTTCTGACCAGCAGCGAGCGGGACTCTTCGAGTGTGGACTCGGAGGTCCATACCTTTGCCCGTCTCAACCAACTCTACAACGCCCAAATCTCACAGTCGGGTGGCGAAACTGATAGCATAGAAGCGAGGCTGGAGAAGGAGGAGGGGGAAGAAGGGGAGGAACCGAAGAACGTCATTGACCTTGCCGTGAGCATCCTTCAGCACTGCGTGTACAACAGCAAGAACAACTTGCTCGCCATCCTCATCCTGCTGGCCAACACCACCTTCGTGTTCCTCAACCTCCCGTACTGTGTGTGGTACCTGAGACAACAGTGGTTTCCCGACAACGCTGTGGGCCGGGCCAAGGACGAGCTGGCTTGGACGGCCACGGTGTTACTCCGCTTCACGAACCATGCCGCCAACTTTCTAGTTTATGTCGCTTTCGGATCACGCTTCAGGGAAGAGTTCAAAAAGTTGTGCTAGACGCTGCACCCGCCTTCAGTCTTCGTTTTCCAATTGATTGACACTCTTTGTCCGTCGTCTGAAGTACGATGGTCAGGCGCGTTGCTGTTGTATACAGAGGACGTGAATTCAAGACCTGAACTGGAATATTTTAAAAGAGCATAATAACCTGTGTATATTTAGATGTTGCATCCCTTGCTCGGGTTACCCCGACAGGCACGATCGAAGCAACACGCCTCCTTAATCCCCTAAATCGTGTTGATGGTGCTGTAAAATACTGCAGTTTCAATATTACAGGGATATTTTCGTTTCTTGTTAGAGTACTCTCCTAATTAATGTCATTCGAAATTGTTGTCGGTTTGTTTTTTTATTCGACTTGCAATTTGATGGCTGCCCCAAGAGCTTGATTGATAAGCCTATAGATCCCCTCTCCTCACTATCAACATCGTTATCGTCGCTGTCGTTATTGCTTTTGTTGTAGCTGTTGTATTATTTTTATCGTTTGTTGTTATTGTTGTTTTTACTTTTGTTTGCGACGTTGAAGTAGCTTTAAAAGATGGTTAGTATTATTGCTGCACTGCTTTCTTTTTTCAGATTCTCGTCTTATACATTGTACATTAATTGTATTACAAGTTCACAGTTAGTTACCTTTTCCCATTGCTTTGGGACCGTTCACAAATGACGTCAGCTCAGAGGGGG